AGTAGTCAGTTTTTACAATAGATACGTTTTGCTAGGAGTCGAAACGAAGCTCTTTAAAAAGCCGGCATCCTATACTGACTGAAATAACTTCAAAACAAATCAGTATCACAACTGGAGTCAATTCCGATTAGCGAAAGAGTATTAGTCTTTCGCATCTGTCGAAATATTGCATGATCATCGGCGTCTACTGTATATATTCTGCCACTCTGTTGTGCATTTTCAATCATAGAACGGGGCCTAAAAGTAAACAAATATGGAGAAACCTGCCCCAGCATACAAGGAAGTGTGAGTTATTTTCCTTTCAGTAGGAGCTTTATCCCTAATTTTAAGCGGAGTCGAAAAACCGGTCCACCTTTCTATTATGGCGTTGACTTTACCTTCAGAAACATGTATAGTACGCGGATATTCGACGTCGAAATAATTAACGTTCCTTTTAAGCAAGTTACTTGTCGTACAAAGTTTTTAAAATTGATGTAAGGCATGTTCCTTTGTGAATTTTGGTATTGACGTTCGTTCTTCTGGGCAATGAGTGAATATATTTGATTAATTCTAAAACAATGACCCAAACAGACAGCTGCATACCTCAATACTTAGGCTAATGTTTATAAGAGTAAGAACACCTTGAAACGCTGCGGACTCCACCGTCACTAATGATCAAACAGTGATTTTGCGGAAGAACTGTTCTGTGGACGGACTACAATTATATGCTTATGCTTGCATCTTTTAATTTCATTCCAACATCACAGTTATGGATTGGCCTGTCGATATGCCACATTATGAAAATGCCCGAGGAGTTTTCTCCCTGTCTGCTAGTTTTGATTTTGTCCCGGCTCTTGGGCGTTGGCAATGCCAATGACCCGACATACTATTCCCGGAAAAATAATTACACATTAGTACATAGGTGTACACCGATCTGGTCCGGGATAAACCAAACCTGGCTGTTTCGTCTGGCAAAGGGACTTGACACTTCAAGTTCATTTCTCAAGGACGAAACAATTATATTACTCGCTAAGTTTAAGTAACCAATGTATTACCGGTAAACGTTAGGACTGCAGTATTCGCGTATTTGTAGCTTATTAGCTTTCGTCAGCTGCACATACCCAACTCCAGTATAGCCACAGAAACTGCCGCTACACTCGAGTTTCGAAACCGAGACCAGTGAGGTAGAGACGAACGTCCTATCCACTGAGCCATCGCGTCGACGTCTTGCCGGTTGTTGATCGGGATATAGATTATTACATAGGTGTACACCGATCTGGTCCAGGATACACTAACGCGATCGAGAACCGGCAAGAGGTCGACCCGATGGCTCAGTGGGTAAGCCGTTAGTTTCTACCTTGCTGGTTGGGGGTTCGAAACTCGAGTGTAGCGGCAGTTTCTGTGGGTATACTGGAGTTGGGTATCTACAGCTGATGACAGCTAGAAATACGCGCATACTGCAGTCCTAACGTTTGCCTCTAATACATTGATAATTACACATGAAATTATACTACTTGGTATAAGTGCGTTTGCATACATTGTTTTTAATGTCTGCTGTACAGATACATTTCTTGCTCACTGTATCACCAAAAGTAAGCTCAAAGCTTAATAAAAATGAACTGACCCGAACTAAACTAAACCTCTCTAACGTTGCTGTCTGCGAAGGCTAGTGGAATCTCAAGAACTGCATCAACTACTGTAAAAAACCACATGGTACAAGCTTGTTGGAGAAGCCGCGAACTAACGCACCTGCCAAATATCGAATGCCACGCCACCAATAACACCAAGGTCGTGCAACGAGGTGGAGAAATTGGGATTCTCCATAGGCTGACCCAGCCAGGGGCCCATGTAGCGTGGGTTTCTAAGGCGCCTGGGCTGCCATTCGTAGATTCTGTGCGGATTTGCCACAGTAGGTATATCCCAGGGCTCAGAATCGAGTCCTTGTGTGAGATGAGGGTCAAAGTCTGGGTCGGGTATCTTCTCATCTTCCCAGTAGATCGGTTTTCTGTCAGATGGATCCTCATAGAACTCTTTGTCATCCCAATCATTCGGCTTAGCAACACTCGCATTCTGGAAAACAATTAGACACTTTATGATTTAATTCCTAGACGGAGGAGAGTTTTGATTATCTTCCACATTATTAAGCAAAGTCAGTAAACCGTGGTTTTTATTAAATCAAGCGGATATTTAGGTGTCCAAAAGCATATGATATTTTTAAGAAAAAAATTAGTAATAGATTGCTTAAAAAGCTTAGCCAACATCTTATGGAAAGCTGAACAACTACTCTACCTAAAACATCCTTCAACAAAACGCTATCCGAGGGCTAAAACTTGGCCTTGAAATAGAATTGCCATGCTGAACCAGTTTATCAGTCATTTGGAGTGTGAAGTTACCTCAGCGACCTTACTTTATTTACGGGTTTAGGAGAATTAGACGCAATCACTGAAACAAAATGATCTCATATGTAAGGAAATAGCCCCTATTATCGTGACATGCCTACTTATGTGAATTGGGTAGGCATATTATATAAGGATTATGTCTCTGACTGACTTAATAAAATGTTTATCGAATAGGCGAAGGTTAGGTGTAAGGTTGGGGTGAATTAACGATTCGTTTTAGAGGAAGGGTTAGGGTGTGATGAGGGTTCACGTCAGTGTTAGGGTTAATGGCCAATACAAGCGAACAAAGGAATCTCAGGAAGTAATTGAGGAGATTCGATCTCTGGAACAACACTTTTATTCGTCTGACGTTTCGAAATCCATCTCAGATTTTTCATCAGACATGAGCAGAAAGCAGTTACAGAAGGAGGTAACACATGCACAGGAAGTTGCAGTTTTTATAGGGCAGGGTCATTACTGTACACGTATGGCAATCAACGATAATAAACCGCAGACCGTATTATCCAATCTCGACTTCTTTAACCAATAACCCCGAACCTTCTGTTTTCCACCAGTTTAAATGCCATCTAATTTCCATATTTCATATTGCACATCTGACTCGGCACTTCAGTGGAGTATTAGAACCAAGCTTTGCCAGGAGTGCGAGTATTCTCCTTGCCTTCAGCTGAGTCATTTAATTGTCTCGCTCATCTGTCTTACTGATAAAACTAGTATTATCAGTCTTCCCATTCCACAGGAGTCTCCTTACTCTACGTTTTCAGTGGACTTACACAGTAGATGCTTGCCGAACTCTATTCACCTGAAGTTTCGGATTCCAGCTCGGAAAAATGATCAGAGACGGCATTACCTACGGGATTTTAACATGGTGGGGCAAATAAACTGGACTCACTGTATTAATGATACCGAACATTTTTCGAATCCTTCTGAGATATAGTAATTAGAACACCCATATAATGTGCATTCAAGGTAACACATGTGTCACCGGAAGTTGCTCTTGACGAAGAAATCACTTTGTCATGTAGTTGGGTGAATGTAGCCTTTGAAGAAAAGCTTCCATTTCAATGAGCTTGTTGCAGGAAAAACGCACATATCACGTCTCAAGATCCACCTAGCGGAGACCTGTCTGTAAAAATTAGTGATGCGAACATAAATCCTCTGAATTCCAACAGTGGGACAATGCGTCAGGTCGGCCGGGTCCCGTGAGGGTCGTCCCATTTTGCTCAGGCGTCTTCTTTAGTATCAGAGTTTAGTCAACCCTTATTTAGACTGAAGACTTGCTGGCAGTTCCGTAAACTGCTTGTGGCCAGAATAAGTTAGGTCAACTGTCGAATACGTTTGGCACATTATTAACAAATCCGAGAGACCTTAAACAAGTTAAAACAAAAGTTTGATGATGGATGCGCTGAAAGCATCTGAATGGAACATAACCTACGTAAATAAATTCTGGTGGAAATTCGGTAAAATCGTCAACCAGCCTTCCGCCAGCTATAGTCTCCATGTCCAAATTTACTGCGTAGGTATCATTAGGAAAGAGCCGCAGGGTTAGCAGATGCCGATCCTCGTCGCCCGGAAATGTGCCCCTTTTCTTCCACTTGTGCAGCTTCCCCTCGTGTCTCAATTCCAAGAGAATGGTTCGATTAAACCCGCACACATCTGCGCCTAGTTAGAGCATACATCTACTTTCTAAAGAAGACGATCAAACCAAAGAGTACTGAGTATTGGGTCTGATCTGTGAAGTGGAGGGCTTCATAGCCAACGTTTAGCAGTTTTAAATAACCTCCTCCACACTCATACCGTCTCGGGTACTGAAATTCATACTGAAATATCAGAGTCTTGTTCAGGTTAGCAAAGGGAGCCGATTTTCGGGTCATTCGGTAGTATTTGAAAGTGTCCTCGGTGTAGATGCCTTCAAACTCACTGTACTCTTTCGTTCTGCGGCTATGTTTAAAAACGCCAAGGTGTTCAGGCTCAACTGGCAATATCCAGGATTGCAAGGACTTGGCTGATGATTCGGCACACTTCCTAAAATGAACTTACCTGTGGAGAAGGTCTCTTTAAGGTACACACGGCCGTCGATAGGAGGCGATAAAAGCAGACAACATAAAAGTGGAAGCATATGGAGATTCATGCTGAAATGTTAAAGAAATATCAATTAAACTGGTGATATATTAGAGAAGATAGTTTCTCTTGTCAGATGCTGTATCATGTTCGACTTCCTACGCAACAATAATGGGCCTTTAAAGTACTTAGCCACTGTTGGGATGACCCGGACGCGAGTCATCACTCGGGCAATCCCAATAATGCCAGAACAAAGGAAGCTGACTGATGGCCGGTTCATGCAGTTACAAGCGACCTCTAAAGCGCGGACATTAGGCTAGGACAAAGAAGGCTTGCGGAGTCAAACGGCCCCGGAGCCGAGTGCTGCTATAAGTGAGGTCACGCTGAGGACAGATGCCAGACAC